AGTTGTATAAAAAATTAATAACAACCGTATTTGATCGACCAAACTCTACATATAATTCATTATAACAAAAGAAAATTTAAGTAACCGTAGATTTCAAGTTCACCTACACCACCGTAAAAGTAGGTGGTGCTACCAAAAAAAACGGCTTATCCCAGGGTAGTGTTCTGGCCCCACTACTCTTTAATATATACACAAACGACCAACCAATACTAACAGATACTAAGCACTACCTATATGCCGACGACCTAGCATTGGCGGCCCAAACAAAAACTTTCGACGAAGCCGAAGGGAGGTTGCACGGTGCTCTCCAAAGTTTAGACAAATTTTATGACGACAATTCTCTCAGACCCAATCCATCTAAAACGAACATCTCATGGCGAGGCATACCGATTGAACACTCTCCTAACCCTAGGTACCTGGGTGTTACCCTAGATACCTATCTAGGGTAACACCCAGGTACAATGTTGAGGCAATGAGCTTTGTAGGTGAGGGACCTCCCTCACCTACAAAGCTCATTGCCTCAAACCAAAAAAAACATAGAAACACGGAACAACCTATTACGGTGTTTAACATCCACTGGGGCGCGGCACCGCATGTCCTTCGTGTGTCTGGCCTGGCATTGGCTTTCTTCGTGGGTGAATATGCATGTCCAGTGTGGCATCGGTCCACCCACGCGAAAGGCGTCGACATTGCTCTGAAAGAGATATGTCGTATTATATCGGGCTGCCTCAAACCAACACCCCTATACATGATGTATCCACTAACAGGAATTGCTCCACCAGATGTTCGACGACAGGTGTTGTGCGAGACAGAAAAAAGGAGACAGGAAACCGATTCCCGCCACCCACTTCATAACCACTCTATTCCCAATGTCCCCTTAAAAAGCAGGAAGAGTTTTTTAAGAAAGACAAGTGCTTTGACCATCGACCCACATAAAGCCAAAGTAGACTTATGGAAGTTAAATCATCCTGCTCCTTTGAACTTTATTCAACCAGTCGACCTGCCCTCACGTAGTGACCTGCAATGGCCCATTTGGAAATCGTTCAACAGACTACGAACCCAGATGGGCCGCTGCAGGTACAACTTGGTAAAGTGGAGTGGTGCTTGTGACTGCGGAGCGCCATCCCAGACTATGGCACACCTGCTGGCTTGACCTTTGTGCCCAGTATCCTGCACAAAAGGGGACCTAAGGGATGCGACGGAGTGCGCAAGGGTTGTCGCGGCGTTCTGGGGAAAATATATTTAAATATATGTATTTGGTTGGCGTTGAAACGAACAGTGTCATTAGTAACAATGTGAGCATGTACTATGAGTTATTATATTAAAAATGTTTTTTCTAAATTATATAAATACAAGAAATATAAATAGAAATAGATATACTTACGTAGAAAACACTCATATCAATCATACTTATAAATACAATAATTTATTTAAGAATTGAAAATATGTGTATCGAAAGTATACCAGGATCAGTGCTATACGGCTATATTACCGAGGCCATTAAAAAATTGGTTCTACCAACGATCTTACGTAATGTAAATTGATTCAGTCAACAGTGAAACCATGTTTACAAGTGTGTCTTTTTCAGTGATGATTAATGTAAAAACATGGCGTTAATCATATTAGGAATCCCCGTATAGCCTAAATAAATAATAAATATGACCCTGGACAATTGACACAGCGCCATCTAGTACCACGGTACGCATAACTTGTGTTATGCGTACTGGGCAACTCATATATATATATATATATATATATATAAACACCTCTTTGGGCACTTTGTTGACCACGCCACAACCCTATCTATCTTTTTCCATCACACCACTCGCTATCGACAGGGAATTCATAGAAATGTCACTCTAAAAACACAAATAGTTTTGTGAAAGCGTAAAGACAAAAAGTAAAGCTTACGTTGTAACTAGATAACTGATATAAATACATACATATATTTTTTTTGTAAATACATTCATAACATATATAGAAAATATTCAGACCGATACAAATAATCATAATTTATGAATATAAATGTATTACTGTGTGAGGGATTGAACCTGCGACCATCGGATGTATGGCGATGTCGTAAACCGCTAGACAACCGATGTCGTCAAGAAATGAAATATAGAAATAATCTTTATTCAAATAAATTTTGAATAGTCATATTTTTCATTCTACCGTTCATTCGGAACGCAGATTCATTCAAGAAGAATGAGCAGGAAAATTTTGAGTAAATGTTTTTTTTTATATTAATAAATACACAACAACAAGTAAGAGGCATGCGATAATCAACATAGAAACCGCTACGCACTCATTCCTAGTGCAATCAGATAATATTGTCAGCGCTATGAATTTCAAGTATTTTAACATAATGTATGTTATAAACCACACCAAACCTCAAATATTTTTATATCGACGATTTTGTTCTATACATACAAGAAATTATAGAGTTATATAAGTATATTTTTTTATTCTTTTCCATCTAAATTAGTGTAATATGTCACCTCTAATGTTTTCAAAGTTGAATAATTTTAATCTATACATATAAATAAAATTGGAGTATCTGTTCGTAATATTGAAATAACCGTTTTTTACTACATGCACATGAATATAAATACATTACATACACCAAAATAATATTTTTTATCATTTCTGTCTGTCTGTCTGTTTGTTCCGGGTAATCTCTGAAATGGCTGGACCGATTTTGACGGGACCTTTTTTGACAGGAAGCTGATGTAATAAGGGGTAACTTAAGCTACTTTTATTTTAGAAAAATAAAATAAAACTTCAAGGGGACGAAGTCGTGGGAATTTTCGGGAATATAATTTCATATTGTTTAAAACTAGATTGAGGACATTTTTATTGAAGAAGTGTAAGTGAAGTATTCTGTAGAAGACTATTATAATCATGACCATAAAGACTTATAAGGGCCTATTGCACTATGCTAGTGGACTCAGCTAGATTTACTGCTTAATTTTGTTTATTGTATGAATATATATTGCTATGCTAAATATTATATTGTTATGCTTTTAGTGCCTTACAGCCAAATGATTTTTAGTTACTACTAACTATTGCCCGCGGCTTCGCTCGCGTTAAGTTATCCCCTTAGCGGTGGAATTTATCGAAATCCTTTCTTAGGGGATGCCTACGTCATAACATCTAGTTGCATGCCAAATTTCAGCCCGATCCGTCCAGAGGTTTGGTCTGTGCGTTGAGATCACTACGTCAGTCACCTTTGAGTTTTGAGTATATATATATAGATTTAGATTTATTTGTACTTAATATACATAGAAAACACCCAGACCGATGCAAACATTTATACTCATGAATTTTAATGTTTTCACTTTGCGAGGAATGGAACCTGCGACCGTCGGAAGTAAAATGGTTTGCTAAACCGCTGGACCATCGATACCGCGGCTTAGCAAATGAAACTTTATTTCTCAGTGAGGTAAATACTAAAATTGAAACAAAAATAATCATAGATGAATTAGAAGTGTTATAAGGAATCCAAAATATTAACGAACTAAAGTGGCAATGGACATCATATTCACCAGTAGTCACCAGTAAAAACCGAGTTAATGATTATCTTTTAAATCATATCTCATATTACAGTAATAAGACTCATCAGCATCCTATATATATGTGTAATTTGTTTATAATATACATTACATCTATGTATGTTACATTTTATTATTTATAATATGTATATCTATTTATTTAATTAACTAAACCGCCTTCGAGTATCTCTGTACTCCCTAAGGTTGACTGGTGAATGCTATTGCATTAAACCCACCTATTGTAGAATACAATTCAATAAAGTTTAAATAAATATATAAATATATCTTCTACATTTACAGTGGAATATACCAGTTACACAGACATGCAATACACCCCTGAATATACAATTTACATGAATATAATAGGATATAGGGGATTCAACGTACCAATAATATTATTAGGAATATATGAACATGAACTGATTAGCGCAGACCGCAATAAAAACGAGCGATTTGTTCCTGCTCATTAAATTATATTAAGTTCTAACATTAATGATATACTTTCATGTTTATCCTTCCAGATGGGGGAGTCAGAGGCACTAAAAACTATTGATGCTGTGATAAACCCAACTATATTTCGGCGTGTTTATTAAATTCCAACCTGACATACAATTAATAGTTTGTAGAATTTTTGTTATCAATGTTCCTTGTTGCAAGTCTGCACATTTTTTTTCTAATTTTAAATATATTTTATTTATTTTACAGAATTATCGTGTGTGTCGTGTCGCGTTTTATTATTGTCACGTTGGCATTGTTCCTGTTCCATTATAAGTATTTACCTATTTCTATCCATTGAATGATTCACACAGTCCATTCTATAGCCCACATTTCTGACTATGCAATGATGGATCATTGCATAGTCAGAAATTTTTCACAACGATTTGGTATCGGTCAGATTCCTATTTAATTTTTAAGTTTACTTTATATTATTATTATTATATAGTTATATACTCAATCTACTCAAATCATGACAATTTTACTTTTTTATATAATTCGAATGGCAAATATACGACGGCCCCGTTTTGACATGACCTGACGGTAATCGGTAACTATATACATAAACAGCTATTGCTATGGACATCACATTATCGTATGATACCACTCCTTCATTGCCGTTTTAGAAGATGAATATGGACTAGATAATAATAATAATAATATTTTTTTTATTTCATCTCCACAAATTACATAATTTTAAGATGCGACTGATCTTTTAATTTCATGGACTAATTTGACTCTACAAACAAAATAGAACTAACAAAGTAAAGTGTTTGACGCCGAAAATAGATAATACAGCAGAGGTGTCCACACAGACGACTTTTTACAAAGTCTGCGTGTCATATTTTTTACTTCTTTGACCTATCACAAAAACTTTGTCCACAATGATTTCTTAACTAGGGTCACCCGACACTATGTGTAAATGCGTCGACCGGCGTCGCTGTGTCGGGACTGCGCGGTGTTCTCTCAGTCACAGACACTCACAGCAAGAGTTCGCTCGTACGATTTGAAAACTTAAAGCTCTGTATACTGTTGATATCAGCATGGCCCGAAGTGTATTTACACCGTTGAGCTTAGCTGTACTCCTTGCAGTCTTTGAAATTGGTAAGTTTTAATTGCATTTAACTTGTGAGCGTGACTGTATCTTTACTACGGGTATATGTACTATTTCTATCTAATGACTGATTAGATATTAAACTTGTGAATGAGTTACGGTAGTTTCGTATCTGAGTGCATAGTTTGTATAATATAGCATATTTCTATTTATATGTATAATAAAGTATTTTGTAGTAAACATCTTGCAACCCTTTATTCACATAAAAAGTAGCCTAAATCGGTTCAATAATTTTGGAGTGAAAGCGCAACAGACAGCCACAGACGGACAGACAGATGACTAAGTTAATTTCGCATTTTAAATTAGTAAGGATTATTAACATTTATTTGGTTTGGTTTATCACACTACACACAAATGTTGTGAAAGAAAATATTATAATTGTTTTAAATTGATACGAACACTATTTGTTTCTATAGATGTTACAAAAAGGTTGCTCCAATATAATTACTTCTTTGAAATTCACGTACACAAACGGACAAAAAATCGTGTATATTATTTTCAACTGATCTTTTTAACTTCTATATTATAAGTACTACTCGTACAATTTGTTTTATAATATTGAAGATATTACGATTTTATTATTTTATAATAGTATGATACATCGTAAATCCATAATAAAAAAATAAGCTCTTTATTTTATTACTTAAGATATTATAAATCTTTTCTGTCTATGCACACTAGCTACTATTAGTGTGGGTTTCTTTTTTTTAGCGTTTTAGCACTGCTATGCATAGGTGTCCATTTGCGATCGCATGTAGCGAGTTGGGCGATAGTGCAACTAAATGTTGACGCAACTGACGATTTATGGTGGCTTACTATTGTTGTATCACGCTAAATTGTTGCATCGCGCAACTAACAGTAGCGCGTGTGCTGGGAGCCTTCTTCGTATGAAAAATAGTTACACCATTAGCTTAATAAAGTGATTGATTTTCTCTATGTGATCCGATAGTTAATATTATATGAGTATTACTGGCATGTTTCATAATGTTAAACGACGAATAATAGTTATAAAATTAGATGTGGGATCCCTATTATATATATAATATTATAAATGTGACTGTTGAATGAATATAAATAAATATAACATTTAAAAATTGTTGTTAAGGTGGTAAAATAAAATAGGGGATGAATGTTTGTACGGAAATAAAATTTTTTAAACAATAAGAGAGATAATTTTTTTTGTTTTTCGGTCAAGATCACTATAACACGCAGACGAAGTCGCGGCAACAGCAAGTTAATATTGTAAATGTGAAGGTGTACCTGTATGTCTGTTTGTCACCTTTTCATGGCTAAACGGCTGAACTGATCTTAATGAAATTTGACATGAAAATTGATTATATAATAAAGAAGGACATAGGATTAATTACGGGACAAAAGTGTGCGTAACAATCAGTACACAATATTTTAAATTACTTATTTATTAGGCACTGATTTTGTTTTAAATACAATTAAATATGAATAACAAGATGACTCCGATATTTTTATATCTACCGTACGGTTTTTCATTATATACCGGCCACGCTTTGCTGTAGTTATAGTTCTTGAATAAAATAATATTGCGACTATAAATTGAGATGTAAGCTACCCTATCTTATATCCACCTATGCCTGCACAATCTGGTGGAGGAAAACCCTCCAATCCACAGCTGCCACCAAGCTAAATAGCCTACAGAGAATTGCTTGTCTGATTATTACAGGAGCCATGAGCACCTGCTGGGAGCAGCTCTAGACGCATTATTGGACTTGACGCCCCTTCTTTTATTTATACAGGAAAAGGCGAAAGCCAATATGCTCAGAATAAGTTCCCAAAGGAGGATATCTTGGCATTCCCTGGCCATAAAAACTATACAAGACTCGATTATGAGTGATCCTATTCTGGGAATGCCCGAAGACAGCATGGCACCAGAGTGTAACTTTGTACAATATTACAAAATCGAAATATCTGGAAGAGACGAATGACAAAATAACCATACACCGACTCACTCAGAGCATGACCTAGTCTGGTTTACAGACGGGTCCAAAATAGGAGATGATGTAGGATGTGGAATATGTGGTGTAAAACCCAAAATCTGCAACTATATAGGCTTAGGAAAATACGCCTCAATCTTTCAGGCAGAGACTTACGCCTTAATTAGATGTCTGGAAGTAATCCTAAGCCTCAACTACATCAATCAGAACATATACATTTATTCGGACAGTCAAGCTGCTCTACTAGCACTTAACTCGTACGAAATCCATTCTAAACTTATTAGAAACTGTATCCTGCTACTAAATGAAGTAGGAAGCAGAAATAATATTATACTGAGATGGGTCCCCGGGCATTCAAATATTGAAGGCAATGAGAATGCCGACCTACTGGCAAAGTTAGGGGCAAAAACCATCCAACTGGGCCCCGAACCCTTCTGTGGTGTGCCTCGTTGCCTAAAACTGGGACATCTCAAATTAATAACCAAACGAGAAGCACTGAATCACTGGCAAGAAATGCCAGGATTAATACATTCAAAAGACCTAATATCGGGCTTCTCGACCAAATACTCCAATAGATTACTGCTATTGAGTAAAAACAACATATACATCATGACTAGGACCCTCACAGGACACTGCAAATTGAACAAACATATGGCTAAGCTAGGCGTGCATAGGGCACGGCAAGTATCTGCAGATTATGCTAAACTGAAGAGGAACCGTCGCTTCACATCCTATGTGGTTGTAGCCCACTCATGCATAAACGAAATATCTCCTTTGGAAAGTTTACACTCTTTCCCGAGGAGATAAAAACGATCGCTCCTAAGAATATCCTTCAATTCTTGTCCCTGACGGGTCTAGGTAGCGAACTCTGAAAAGGGCGAGCACAATAGATCTATGTAGGTCGCAGTGCTACAGGTGCTACACATCTGACAATAGCCCAAACAACCCAATAAAAAAAAAAAATACCCTAGCTTTCAAGTTGGATCAAATTGCACACAATGTGCAAATCAAATTCGCAATCGATGCAATAGTTTAGGAGTCCATCGCGGGCAAACAACGTGTCACGTAATTTATATATATAAAGACAACGCGGAACCTTGAAACATTTTTTATGGCCGTTTGTAGTTACATCCAAGTTCATGGGCAGCGGAAAAAAACATCATCATGATGACCTTGTAGCTTAAATGTACATACAAAAATGACAAACTACGTATGTCTTACTCAAATTTAAAAGTATGATTATATGAGTATGTTTACCTACATATAAAATGATTAATATAAATAAAAAAAACCTATCAAATTTAGGTCTTTTTTTTAAGTTGAAGCATATTGGCATTCAGCATGTTTAGTTTTTGCCTACCATGGTAGGCAAACGAAACATAACCCTGAGACAAGACCCTGTTGTAGTAAAACTAAAATATAAAAATATAAGTATACACATACATTAGGTAATTCCCACATATGAATGTATAATTTTTTTTGCAGTAATCGGACATAAAGTTATCGCGTACCAGAAAAGTTCAATATCAATTATCAAATATAATCTTCTGAATATTTGTGATTGCGTGTGTATATATATATACCGTCACGACTGTTATACCAGATAGTGTAATTAGAAGCATTTTCAATTGCTGATGTTGTGTTGGTAAATCTGACATGGCAGGGGTATCTCTATCTGTCAATCAATCACTCAGACAGATTCGACCTGAGGAATTTTGTGTCTAATTCGAAGTAGTAGTAGTATAATAGTAAATCTATTATTTATATCTAAATACTTTAACAATAAATAACATTAAATTCTCTCAAAATGTATCATTGTTGTGTGCTAATAGTTAATAATTAATGAGTAGGATCACCTTGTCACGTTTACTTCATTTGTTACTTGCCTGTTTTATTGCTTCAGTCTGACGTAAGCACACAAATAAGTAGTAACAACACACACAGAACACTACAGTACCTAGTATTGTTAAAGAAATAATAGCAATCGGAAGGAGGAGTGAGATATTTCTCACATTTATAACTTACATAAAGGAGAGCAGAATGTTAATATTTTGAGGAAATGTTTCGTTTCGTTAGGAATGTATTTAAATAAATATTTAGCTTCTACTGCTTTTGGCAGTCGAGCAATGTTTTAGTCAACAGCAAATTTTTAAGATATATCATTACAAGATCGGATAAGTTCAAAAATATTGCTGAATAAATAAATCTATGTAGGATTCAGCTAAGAATTACCTAAGACTATGATCATCGCTACAAATTCAGACTTCACTTTACAGCATCTATACTGCTTACTTTACTCAGATGCAGAGTCACGTATTGTCAATATCTAAAATAGTGTATTATAGATATAGAGAATACCCTTTTTTATTTCAATGTCAATTGTAACCAAAAGTTAAATCATTGGAGTTATACACCCCACTCTGTAATGCATTTCTTGCATTGCGTGGATCCTCTACAAAATGTCTCCTTAGTACGATAGTTATTTTCTATATTCCAACCTTCTACGAGCCAAAAGCTTTCAGATAAGTGAAGGATATATATGAATGCCTATATATAAATATGAATAACATGACGGACATCACGTCATCATATGATTCCAGTGGTCGGTCATAAGATGACGTGATCTCCTTGAGGCTGTTCATGTAATATAAGCGAAAGTTACAACTTACAATGAAGTCAGCCGTCAGCTTGCACTTCCAATTAAATAAAACAAAATAATTGAACGCATCATAAAAGAGCAAAAGAAGGCAATCTCGAAAAGAAATCTGGCAATAATAAGCTAAATCCTTCGTTATATAAAAATTGTATAAAAATACTGGTGGGGAACGGTCTCATGTCGCACAAATCGTTAATAATATCGGAGAATAATTAATAATAATGATTATAATTTTTCTAAACACAAGGTTATCTGTGGCTGTGTGTAGACGCTAGTGTAGGACGTGTTCAACATAAACATATGTTAAAGTTAATTAAAATTTTATATCGTGTTGTCATCTAATATAATGATATTTAATCTTAATGTA